TATCTCTCTCTCTCTCTATCTCTCTATCTCTCTATCTCTCTCTCTCTCTCTCTCTTATCTCTCGATCTATCTTTTTCTCTCTCTCTCTCTCTATGTCTCTCTCTCTCTCTCCATCTCTCTTTCTCTCTATCTATCTGTCTGTCTGTCTGTCTATCTGTCTTTCTACGTATCTATGTATCTAGCTATCTATCTATCTATTTATCTATCAGTCCGTACGTCGGTCTGTGTGTCTCTAATTTGTGTCTCTGTCTATCTCTCTATCTCTCTCTTTCTCTCGTCCATGTATCTATCTATCTGAATATTTGGATCTATCGATCTCTCTGTCTATCTATCTATTCATCCACACCTCTTTTCCTCCCTCCCAACGGTCCGAGGGTATGCACAGTAACGAAAGACTGCACTGTCTTGATAGCAAGCAGTGACATGTTGCGAAGTGAAGCCAAGATCAGGAGGCCTTCACTTGCGGTCAGCTTCCCGTTCGACTCAAGCTACTTCATTGGTATGCCGCTTCCTCGCTTGCAGGTCGGGTGTCAAGGGATGTCAAGAGCAGTTTGTGATAGTTTGCCAGGGATGCTGTCCGGATTCTCCATAGTTTGGTCCAGCTCGCCTCTTGGTTCAGTCTATAGAGATTACCGACAATTTCGGTTGCGGTCCCTTGTTGCCCTTGGCAACCCTAACAACGTGCTAGGTTTTGGCCTTTGCAGTTCAAGATCGGAGTGTGTTGAAGGTTCTTCGGCTACCCTGCCCTGGCTGCAGGTTCCCTGCCAGAGCAGAGCTACCGCGATCGCTGACACGTGTTGCAAGACGCACCACTTTTTTCGACTGCAATGAATCTCTCATGAATGGGTGCTAGACCCACCAAGTGGAGCAGCACCGAAGAGGCATCGAGATGTGCGCCAGATTACCATGAATTCGGGGTAGCATCGGATCTGCAGAACAATGGGACATCAACTTTCGAGCCATGGAAACAACTGGACAGCATCAGCAGTCCTGAACAGATAAATACTCAACGATACAGTATCCCCATCCTTTTGCAAATATCCGTTCATCATGTTTATGTTAAGTCAAATCCAACCGAGCATTCACGCACATACGCAGGAAAGCAAGCAGACAAGTACATAAGTGATTACATAGATTTCGTGGTTTTAACAGTAGGGCAGTAACAAGCAAACGCGCAGGCAAAGAGATAAATGGCTTGTAGATGACTCGACGAAACCCGCGTACGAATGAGCATACATAACCATACCAGCAATCAGGCAAAGAAACACACAAACAAACAACAAACACATAAGCAGGCAGAACAGATACACAACTAGAGGCGTGCGTGTATATATGTATGTATACATATGTACATATATACATATACACGGCATGAACACACGCATAGCCAGCAAACACATTCCTAATTCTTGAAATGTCAACAATTTCGCGAGGCTTGTCTTCTTGCGGGGGGTTGCGGACGGCTGCTATGAGATCGCTGAATTTCATATCTCGGGAACTGTAATTTGCATTGTGGGTATGACATGCCTTGAGAATTTCATATGGTCTGATTTCTATGTATTCTCCAGCAATGTCTTCTTGTGAATGCAAAACATTGGTAATTTAACCGCTCGCACGGGAGCCGCCTCGGAGCCGGGTATGTTTGTGTCAGGGTTTAGGCTTAGAGGCACTTCAGAGAGACCTCGTTCAAAAGGGTTGCTCGGATAAATGTTGCGCAAGGATGTGCAAGGGATCCGAGCTAGTGCTGCCATGTTTGACGATGGCTCAGTCGGCAGTGCCAGCGCCGCTTGTTTCGCTGTTTGCTGTTTCCCCACCATTACTCCTCGCCCGCTGAGACTACCTCCTGGAGTGGCTAAACCCCTTAGACTACCGTGAGACTCCCGTGAGATTCCCCACCCACCCCCACAGACTTCCCGTTAGACTCTCGTACGACTCCCTGGAGTGCCCACCCGCACAGATTACCATGAGAGTGCCTAACCAGTGCCCAACCGCTCAGATTACCACGAAACTCTCCACAAACTACCATGGGACTCTGGGGTTATTCAGCCATGCAGGAAGCAAAAACAACCGTGAGAACATGAGATTCCTTGGAGTGCCCAACCCTACAATACATTATCTGTAGGGTGAGGATATTCGAAGTAAAATAACTATTGCATTTTATTTGTGGGAAGGAAGGAACACAAGATTAAATAGGATTCATTGTGTAAGAAGTAAAGAGGCAATAGAGGAGGGGCAAAGAGGTGGAGACCCAAATAGCCGAACTCCTGGACGAACCCACGACAAGACTAAAAATACTTCCCTATCTTACCACCAAAAGAGTTAATCCGAATACAAGGAGCGGATCTGGGATGAGAGGGGCTTGGGAGGGAGAGGGTCGTGCCCATTTTATGGTCCCAATGTATCAGTTTTTTCGAATTACAGTGACGGCGTTGGATAAGAAACTATTGTATCCGAGGCAGGGTATCCGGAATTTCTTATTTAGATAGCGTTCGGTTCAGGGTCATAAGTGATAGCCGCTGGGTTTTGGGTACCCTTAATTTCTTGTCTTATTTATATCTGATGCTATCTAGGGCTCAATATAAACGAAGAGCCCGGAGCGATTATAAATCGCTTATTGGAGGATGGCGAGATTCAAATTATTGATCTTCCGCCGCCTCCCCCTCTGGTTAATATTGAAAACAAGGAAAGTAGAAATACAGGCCCTGAAATTTCGAAATTTAGCCCTTGAAAAATTTCTTATTTCATATATTTTTGATTCGGTCGTAAAGTAAGGAAATAAGAAATTTAGCCTTTAAAATTTCTTATTTCCTGGATTTTTGCTGTAAATCCTAGATAAAATTTTTAAGCTTCTACTCATTGCCTTCGGGAGAATTCCGAGTAAATTCATTTAAATGACCGGACATTCATGAAAATAGCTTGAAATATTTTTTTTTGAATTTTTGAATCGAATTAATTTATAGAAATTGGTTCATTTAATCTAGAATAAATAAAGTAAATAGGAGAATTATAATATATAATTATTATGAATTTGATAGGTTATATTCTAATAATAATATATATTGATTTCTAATTTTAAATTTTAAATATTCGATAAAATTAAAACATATGTCTCGTTTGATTTGTCCGAGTGGGAATACGAATATATTTTTTTAATAAAAAATAATAATTAATTATATAGTTTTAATAGAAATAGAAAAATTAATAAGAATTATTTTCTAAAGAAATAGATTATATATAGATAATGAAAATCTAATAGAGATATGATATATTTTATAATTTAGATTCATAATGAATTTCATTATTAGAAATTTACCTTAGATAAGAAAATTTTGATAATTTTCTAATTATGAATTAAATTGCTATGAATAATAATTCTTTCACGTCTGGAGATCGGGAAAATTCGATTAACTTTATAATAAATAAATTTCGAAACGATATTAATTGATTGGAACATCTTATCTATATTCATATATCGGGAATATTCAAGAGGCAGGCAAACAAGCTAGACACTATTTCTCATAATTTGAATCGGACTATGCACAAAGTCTTGGAGCAATTTGAATATAGAGTACAAAGATTGATAGGTGTAGTCGTCCAAATAGGAATAGTTTTTAGTCTGGAATCAAAAAAGGAATAGTTTTTAATTAGATCCCTAGAGAGAGCCTCATGATGAAATAAGTAATAGATCTATAAAGAGGTAGAATGAATTACTGAAGGAGCAAGGACAGATTCTTTCGTAACTTAATAACTTGATTGAGGAGCTCGGATAAAAAAATTCAGAGGTCGCCTTGCAATTATTATCTCGTGTTGAGCCATACTATTAAATATTTCATCATCTTATATAATAATTCAGAGAACGAATATAAGTATTCGCTACAACTTCTATCTATATTACATCTTGAAATATAATATAGATAATATTCTATATTTTATATATATCATATGAGGATTACATAATTTTTTTTATATTATATAATATATATAATAATAAATATTTATATTTGAAAATTAGATTCGACTATATATATATTTTCGCTATCTCAGCATTATATATTCGAATTCGTGACTTTATATTTCGAATAATTATAATATATAGTATGCAATAAAGAATTTATCTCCATTAATTTCTATTATCTATATAATATACTAACGCCTGTAATAAAATATGGCCATAATCCGAGAAATTCTAGTAACTATAAGATTCTAGAATAAGAGTTTGCAGATAAAAAAGTAAAATTTTCAATTAAATCCCTTACTCCGCTTTATGAAATCACGGCGAGATCATTATTAATATATAGATTTCGCTTATTCAAATACTATCCTAGGGGAGAATCAAAATATCTTCTCGATAATGAAATTATTATTTCGCATTACTTATTCAAATGTGCTAATTGCTAATCAAATTCCCAGACTCCTTATGCAACTTCTTATTTACTAAGAATCCTAATAGAATGTCAATATATAATTGTCATGACTACTAATCAATTGGGAACGACAATATACTATATATATTCTCCTTATATTTCGCATACTCCTTATCGAATTTTCAATCAGAATATATTTATAGATATGAATCAATATCTAAGAAAGATTCGTTTTTAATATTTTCAGAAAAACTTTTTATATTAGAGAATATGATACGATTGAACCAATATTATAGAGATGCGCCTACCTCTTTATAAATCTAATTGGGGAATAGATTGGTCTTTTCAAAACCATATGATTTTCCTGTATCTTAGTTCACCGACGGCCATATATAGTTAGCGGAGTATTTATTCCTTGGAGGAAATAATTCATATGGTTATTCCTGCAACTGGATATAGTAGGAGCCAGAAGCAGCTTGCCGGGCCCTCGAACTGGAGGCCTTCAGGGCCAAGGGCAGGATGCATAAGAAGTTGTTCTGCTTGAGTAGGCCAACTGCTGCCGAATCCTGATCCAGCGGCTCGTGCTCTTCAGAGCTTTTACGGTCGGCTACGCCAGGCAGATCTTCAGGCAGTTTTTGCTTGAAACTCGGCATGGCGTAGCCGATCTCGTTTGCAACCCGAACTGCCTTGTCCACTTCCGAGGCAAAATCCAGCCATGGAAGAATGCCCTCTGAAGAAGTATCTAGCCTCTTCATCAGGCACACGAAATCTGTTTGCGTGCTGAAGGCTGCACTACGACGACGACGACGAAGTACTGCTCTGGCGGCGCCTGCTGCTGCTGGACTCGCACTGTTTGGCGGATCTGTCTCCTTTTTCGAACCGATCTGTGCTGGCGAACCTGTGCGCCACTGGATCTTGTCAAATGACACCAGTTTCTAGTCGCAGAAGCCATATTGGCTTTGCAATTGCTTCAAATTCTCTTCAGGGATGA